GGAATTTGGTTTAATTTTTTTTCCTATTTTTTTAATAGTTTGTTGAAAGTAATCTACCCATATCTTAATTAATTTGACAGAACTCGGAAATTGTTAGTTAAAATAGCAACATGTTTTAGTAATTGAGTAGAAATATATTTTAGTTAGTTTTTGTTGTTAAAAATTAATATTTTAATTTATTATTACTGACAATTAAATTTATTCAAATTATTTGTAAGTGTGAACCAATTTTTTTTTTTTAAACTTATTTATAAGTGTTAAACTGGCTTCTTTTTACCGGCTCTTTAACTGGTTTATTAGTTTGTCTAGGTTTTTACTTTTTATGTTTCCCTTTTTCGTTTTTCATTTGTTCACTATCATTGTTAATTTTGTTCTCTCTTTGAAGATTGTGTTGGCTGCGTTTGGTGCTGTTGTTGCAATTTACTTTGAAGATGATTACACTATTTGTCCTATTTTTTTGTTGTGTTTTGTTTCGTTTGTTTTTTTGTTATTGTTGTTGACTGTTTAGATTATAGAGAGTAGTTTGATTGTGAATTCGAAGTTTTGAATTTGTTAAACAGTCTATTTCCACAGAATGCCAAATAATGGAATCATTATTTTGTTTTTCATGTTGAATTTTTTCCTGTTATTAGGAGAATAGTGAGTTAGGGTTTTCTATTGTAAGGAAATTAAGGGAAGTTTGATTGTTGTAGGAGGAAATTAAGCAAAAACATCAGTTTGAAGGAGAGTTTGTTACGAATTTATCAAAGTTGTCTTTGATGTTGGTCCTTAGAAGTCGATTGTTTAGATCTAGTATTTAGGCATTTTAGTAGTGGTGAAGAGCATGAGTTATTGGTTAAAAGTTGTTACTATTTTTAAGTTCATTTTTCGTTGCTGTGTTGCCTGTTTAAAAGGCTATTAGTTAATTGAATAATGATATAAGGGTGTGTTTGGTTAGGGCTCTAGAAAGATAACTCCGATAATCTATCTTTAATTTCGGACATTCCCTTGTTTGGTTGTTAAGTAATAAAAGATTGTGGTAATCTTTCAATACCAATAGTGATTACTATGGGTTAAATAGGGGGTAATCAGATTACCTCCTTAAGGGGTGATATTTAAAGATTACCTGGGTAATCTTAATTTTATACTCATTTTGCTATTATTTAAATACCATTCTGGACACAATTACCCTCAAATGTCTACCAAATAACAATAACTCAGACCTCCTACATTTTAGAATTTAGATAAAACACCTCAGCCACAAAAATTTTAAAAGTTAACAAAATACCCCCAGCCACCAAAGACCATCGCTGGCCGCCAGCCATCACTGTCAGCCACAAGCAATAGTCGCCATATTGATGTACGACTGGTGGGATCTGGCTAGTCGTGTTTTGATCTGGCTGTTTTCGGCCAGATCAAAGACTGAAAATCTCCAGATTGCCGTGGATCTGGCCGAAAACGACCAAAATAGATCAGCTATTTGTGTCTATTTTTGACTAGATCCATGGCAATTTGGCTGTTTTCGGCCTTTGATCTAGTTGTTTTCGGCCTTCGATCTGGCCGTAAACAGCCAAAACGACGCACAACTAGCCTAATCTTGTCGGTCGTGTGTCGTTTTGGTGACTAACGCCGGTGGCCGGTGGTCGGCGGTGGTCTTGGGTGGTTGGGGGTATTTAGTTAAAATTTAAACTTTGTTGTTAGGGGTGTTTTAGCTAAATTCTCAAATATAGGGTGTTAAAGGAAATTATTTTAATAATAATAATACTAATACTAATAATGATAATAATAATAATATTTGTTATTATTATTATTATTATTATGAAAAAGGAAGGGCAATTAAGTAAAAGCCTTTATCGATAATATTTTATTCTTCCCAATCAAACATCTTAATTATTTATACCCACTAATCTAAACAAACATATTGATATCACATTCCCTCGTAATCTTTAAGGTAATCTATCTCGGAGGTAATCCTACCATTTCAACAATAAATCATTCCACGAACCAAACGCACCCTAATAGTAAAAGTTTTTTCTCCACTTTGCTTTGTTTTTTACCTTTATTAAAAGTGTTTTTGTCTTTTTGCTTTTTTTTTTTTTTTTAAGTCTTCAATTTGCTTTAGTTTGTTTTAATTTTTGTAGTGTTTTATGTTATATTGCACTCCGTTTTGATTTCTTTTTTGTTCTGTTGTTGACTGTTCATATTGTAAAGAGTATTTTTTTTATGTAAGAGTACATATTTTCTATTGTAACCAAATAAAGGGAAGTTTGTTGTTGTAGGAGGATCTTTTTTCGTGTTTTCTTTTTTCTTTTTTTTTTTTTTTTTTTTTTGTTATAATTTGTTGTTAATATATTTTAGTTTAATCTATTTTCATTTATTTATTTATTTTTTGTGTTTCTAATAAGTTTTTAATCTTGATAGCATTGAAAAAGGAAAATAGTATCTGGATGATGTAGATGTTTCTTCAAAAAGGAAACAGAAGAGAGGCATTAATGCTAATGTAGACGTTCTGTAAGGCTTGAGGGTTCGGTTTTAGATAGTCGGCAACAGGAAATTGATCGTTTGATTGATTCAGCTATTTTTAGTGGAAGTGAGAGAGATGATGAAGCTACTGTATTTGAGGAAGTAGCAGACGATGTACTAATTTCTGAAAAGAAGAAGTTGGAAGACAAACTTGATTACTTAACAAAACTTTTACAAAGTCAATAGAAAAAATATTCTCATCATGAGAATGTGTGTCTTTGTCATGCAAACTACAAAAGCTTGTATTTTGACTCGAGAAGGAAGGTATCATAATTGTTTTATAATATGTTTGTTTTTTTAATGATTTTAAATGTCATATTTTATCAAGTATTATTTATTGTTTTTGTGTTTTTTGTTATTGGAACACGGATAGAAAGCTTAACAAATGAAAAGCATTAGCTGGCTTTGAAGCTAGAAAATTTGCAAGGTAGACTTGAATCAGTATGTGTTTCTAAATGTAATATATTCCTATTTAACTTTTAATTTGTTTATATATAATTTTAAAATTATTCTTTTTATTGTAGGCTGAAAAGTGTTATTCAGAAAGTATTGCAGCAAATGAAGGATATGTCTTTCTGTTCATATCAAAGAATGTCTAATAAAAATGCAGTACATGTATCATCTGCAGCAAAAAATGTGGAGAAAGAAAAAAAAGGTAGAGGCAAACCATCAAAAAGAGGGAGAACGAAAAAATAGATTTTAGCAAAATGATAATATATTTCGTTTTGGTGTTAATTTCTGTGTAAGATCTTTGTTTTTCAATTTTTTTTTTATTTTTATTTTTTTATTTTTATTTTTTTTTTATGTTTGATGACTTGTTTAACTTTTTATCAATGGGCATGCTGATGTTTCTGCATTGCTTCTCGTTTTGGTGTTAATTTATGTGTAAGATCTTGTTTTTTTGTTTTTTCGTTTTTTTTTAATGTTTGATGACTTCTTTAACCTTTTTATCAATAGACATGTTGTTATTTTTGCAGTGGTTCTTGAAATTATTTATGGTTGGAGTCAATTGATTCAATTCGAATTGTTTTTTTGTTATTTCTTATGACTTGTTTAACTTCTTTATCAATGGACATGTTGTTGTTTTTGCATTGGTTGATTCAATTTGAATTATCTGTTTGTTATTTCTTATAATATATGGTGATGAGTTTCTAAATTATGAATCGTAAACTAAAGAATATATATGTTAGATTTGTGCAATGAAATTTCTAGAATGCAATATACTTTTATTTTCATTTCTTTACTTATAAAAAAACTGTGTACAATGCAGTTGTCTGATTATTTTGATGTTGGATTTGGATTTCAAGTTCTCTGGTAGCAATCAAGAACTCACGTCGAGTTAAGTAAGAGATATAACCATGGTTGAATCCATTATTTCTATCAGTCCATGGATAATATCTTTCAATTTTATGCTAGCACCATTGAGATTGCCCATGCCGGTGCTAACATTCTTGAGAATTTGTTTGATCTCCGCTTGTGTGTGTGACAGTCTTGCTTCATTTGTAAACAACAAACTTACATGAGAATAGATATAGAACAATGAATATAATAGATATTGTTCAATGTTTATTACTGTATGTTGCGGTTGCTTGTGATGCTTTGCCATTTGAAATAAAATTTTGAAACAAGAACAATGTTTGTAATTGTATGATGATTGAAATTGTATTTTCTTATCTTTATATAGAAACAATAGAATGTGAAACGATAGAATATTAATAGACAACTTATCATAAATAGACACACTTATTGATGATATGTGTAAATGACGTTTCAAGTAATCAGTTGTGGGATCCAAAAGGTTCAAGAAACTTTTATGTTAACTTAATAATGTGCAATAATAATTAATATTATAATGTGTAGGATAAATGTAAATAGTCAAAATACCAACAACCAACTTTTCACAAATAGGCACACTTTTAGAAGATATCGAGATAATCACTACAAGAAATTTAACATTTAGGGACAAAAATTTTCATCACATAAAGTGCAAAATTTGTCCTAAAAAGTAATGTGGGACAACAGACCTAATCGTCCCCAAAGTCGCGTCGCCAAAGGGTAATGCTTATGGAAAAATATTTCGTCCCCAAAGCCATGCCATTGGGGAAGAAATACAGTTTCGTCATTAAAAATTATTTATTTTGTGACGAAATTTTTTGTCCACAAAAGAATAATTATTCGTCCCAAATGAGACTGTTTCGTCCCCAAAAAAGCACAATTAGGGACGAAAAAAATTTCGTCCCTAACTGGATCAATCATTGGGAACAAAAATTTTCGTCCTTAATTATGTGGTGAACTAGGGACAAAAATTTTCGTCCCTCAGGCCTCATGTTGTGGTGAATTGGGGACGAAAAATTTTGTCCTTGATCGGGTTGATAATATGATTATTAATCGTAATCCCAATTTATGAATCAACCCTACTAATTTTCCTTCATGATAATACCCAGATTCATTTTCACTTCACTATATAAACAAACAAAACAACAAAAGCTGAGTTTCCCAAATCAAATTGCACTTCTTTATTAACAAAAGCTGTCAACATTACAATTCCTACTTACCCACTATCACAGAATCTTCTAAGTAAGTTTCAGGATTCCAATCCCAAAAGAGTGAAATAAGAAACAAAATTGCAAACATCTTTGTTCTTTCCTATAGCCCAAAATCTTCAATGCTGTCATAGTTTCTTCTTTGCTTCCATCCCTACTACTTCGAGCTCAAGTTTATCTGCCCTAAATGCAATCTCTTTGTCTTCAACAACATTTTATTTACAATTCAGATTTTCTTGATTAGCTTCAAAGAATGATTTACCAGTTATTCCTCATCAAGTTGTTGTCGTTGCGACGTTAGTTCCTCTACTAATCTATCTAATGCTTCCTTGAACCACCCATATTGACTTTGACCAGCTTTTCTGGCTCCTGCCACACTCATCTGCACACAAAAAGTGACATAATTATCAAAAAAATTTCTTTATAAGATATCTAACCAGAAACAGCTTTCTGAATGCCTTTGAAAAATGACATCATTCACAAAAAATTTTCCTCCATTTTACCGTCCGTGCAATTACCCACTGTTAACAGAGTGTTCTATATAAAATTTACCATGTATATTAGACACATTTATGTCAACGATGCCATTACTCAGACTAATCAACACAACCAAAACTCAGAAGAAGACAGAAGAAGAGTTTTGATTGTAAGGGCAATAATTAATTGCAGTAGAGCCTGCCAATTTCAAGAATATACAGCAACAGAAATCAAAATAAATAATGGTCATTACTGCTTCCAATATATTGTCAAGCACATGAACAAGAAAAGTTTCCCAGAAAGTTGAAGAGGGATTACATACTTGAGATCAATGCCCATAAACTGAGGATTCAACTGTATTCCAACCACCTAAAGAATTATATACAAGGTAAAAATATCAAGAATTTAAATATAGACTGTTAAAAATGACCAAACAGACAGAAAGAAAGTATTTGACGGACACTAACTTTTCCATTTTCAGTTACACGAATTGATAATTTAGCTCTTCAGTTATATTGTAATGCAATTACAAAAAAAGAGTTCGTACAGTAAATTATCAGTAGTTAAGAAGAGGACAGAGTTTGAGCTTACAGGAATGCTAATTCAGAAAGCATCCCAAGCTCTTTTGGAAGTTACCCAGATAATCTATTAACGTCGAACGCCGAAGTCCCTAAGCAAAATGAGAACTAGTTGGCATAACAAAAAAAAGAAAAGAAAGGAAAAGGAAAATAATATGAGTTTCAAAATTAAAATTTTATATTAACTGCTTACAGGTTTATTAATGCAGTTAGATTGCCGATAGATGGAGAAAGTGAACCTGACAAGCTGTTAAGATTCAACCTCCTATTAAAAACAGAACAACTAATAAGATTAATATTTAAGAACACAAAGTTCAAATCATTTTATGATGTTGATACTGTATGGTGTCAAGAGATTTAAGCATAATTCATTAAAATGAAGTAAAATATTTTAATAACCACCAACCCTCATCTAATGATCTAAAAATAAGCATATATGAAATAGTAAACGACATGTTCCCACCCAAGGTTTAGCGTGGTAATTTTCCAGGTTTTATAAATTCCACAGTCCCACCCATAAATTAACACCACTTCTTGTCTTTTAACAATTAAAGGCTAAAATGTTAATTTACTACATTTTAATATTTTCATTTTTGCAAAAACATTCTCTCACCCACTACCTAACTGATGCCAGCAGACCCTCTTGTTCATAACAAGCCAACAGCAGCGCCACCACCTAGCCACCACACCCTCCAGCCGAAGCTCCAACAAGTTAAGCTTACCATTACTACAATCGAAAATGAAATGCAACCCGAATGGCTACGAAACGGAACTCACACTCATTTACCAACAATTCAATTTGGCTCTCGATCTCTTCTCTTCCAGCAGCAAGCAAGCACCTGGACCTCCACCAGCTTGAAACCCTCTAAAAGACATGGCCACCGTCGTCGTCGCCACTACCATCCCAAAACTTATCCCAATTCTTCTCATAATCCTCCTCTCCTCCACCCTAACCTCTGCAAAATCCAATCACTTCATTACAATTATTTAAACATTTACAATCTACACATTGAGGTTGTGGCTCTACGGAGACACCTCAAATTTATAATTAAATGATTTGAGTCAGAATGCAAATTCAACCTTCAACAATGTCAGTAAAATATAATGCTGTAAGTTATGATAAGTTAACTTGAAGAAAGATGCTGACACATAAGAGCATGCATGTACTCAAGAATAATGTTTACAAATTAAATGAATAAGTATATTTCATTCAACAACCACGTACCAAACTTTCTAGGCACCAAAGAAGAAACTACATCAATTACAAGAAAACAAAACATTAAAGTTTCTGATAGCAGCTCAAGTTCACATAAATGTCAAATAACACACTAAACCTAATTTAATTAGAAAAAAGACAAAAATACGCACCATCAAAAGTCAAGTCGAATGAGGGTTGTCCAAACATTTCATATATACTTACAATTTGAACCTATAATCTTAAGTTTATCACTTTGAAACTTTCATCATTTCACGTGACAATGCCTACTCTGAGTTTCAAAATACTCATGACACAGCATAAAACATTAAAAAATCTGTATTTCAAGCCAGATATACTACCTGAATGTTTATTCAACATCATACTATCCTATTTACAAATAATAACATAATAAAAGTCACAAAGCCCCAAGTAATTTTAGGAATTGAAGATGATTATATAATTACAAGCCAGTAGATAAACACGGAGTAGCGAGTACTTACAGTAGGTGATATGAAATCCATCTGGGTACCAATTCCAAGTAGCGCAACCAACAATACAAGCATACAAAACAGTTAACCCATTTGAAACATTAAAAAATACAAACTATAACACATCAAAATTCTAAAGAACTTGAGCAAATGAGTAAGCAAACAGCTAATTAAAACAAATCGAGTGCAAAGGGTCAATGGTGGAGTCGGAAGAAGTGGAAAGGTCGGAGAGGTCGGTTTGGTTGGATTGAGCGCGGAGAGATACGAGGTGAGTCGATGGGCTGAGGAGAAGGAGGTGACGCTTGTGGCGGGGGTGGAGATGGATTTGTTTAGAGAGAGAAAGAGGGATCTAGCCATCGGTTTTGGAGGAAATTTGAGTGAAGATTGCGAAAATCTTGATTGAGAGAAGAAGATTTGAAGAATATGACATTTTGGGGCAAAAATTTCGGGTTAATGGATATCAGGTTTCTGGGGACGAAAACTTTGGGACATTTTGGGAAGATAATTTTGGGTTAATTGGTATTAGGTTTTTGGAGACAAAACAATTCATCATAGAAGAAAAAGGTTTTTAGCTACAAAATGTTTTGTCCAAATATAATACCTTTAGTTACCAAAAATGTATTTTTACAATAAAAAACAAAATCATATTTCGTCCCTAATAAGTGTTCCAAATTTTGCATAATTAGAGACAAAAAATTTCGTCTTAGAAAAGAAGGTTTTTATCTATAAAACTTTTCGTCCAAAAATAATAAATTTCGTCCCAAAATAATTTCCCTCTATACTATTTCATTTTTCCCTCCATATGGCATTGTTGGCGCAGGGCAAAAGTTGAGTGCTAATCATTTTGTGATGAAATTACAATTTCATCCCCTAAAATGACCATTCTAGGACGAAATTAAATCCGTCCCTAAATGTTAAATTTCTTATAGTGAATGAGCGGCGGATAGTGAAAGGTTGAAGAAACTTTTGGGTTTTCAGTATTGTAAAATAATAATTAATATTACAATGTGCAGGATAAACTGAATAGTTTTTTTTTTTTAATATAAAAGTTTAAAAAATATATTTCATTTTTTTTTTTTAATTTGTTAAAAAATGTATATAATTTTATTAAAGTTTTTGGTTTGTGAATTTTGTTTATTTCAAGTAAACATAGTTGGACTTGCTTTTTGAATGAATTGGATTTCAACTCCTTTATCAAACCCTCTTCTCAAATATTAAACAATAACAAATGGGTAATTATACGTCTTTTAATTTTTCTAATATTTGTTCTTCTTTTATAACTTTAGTAACATATGATGACAAAATGCTCAATATCTCTCACATAATGCCCCTTAAATTTACAATAGGAGTGAAAATTGATGACTTCAAATAATTTAAGATTCATTTAATCAAAAGTTCCTGGGAGGTGGAACGTTAAGATTATATCAATACGACCCGCAAGTATTATATAATAACAAACATCCCCTTGAAGTTTACGAAATAATATTTGAGTTAAAATTTTTTTTTTTTAATTTTTAAAGATTTTGTGTCATTTGTAAATTATTAATATATAATATTAGTAAGGTGTGCTTTTTATATTGGTGTTACAATTAAAACAAATATTTCAAACATTAGGGAATTATGATAAGTTACAGTCGAAAAAAATGGCTTTTATTGTTTAATATATCATGTTTGTGTTCTAACTTTTGAAATCATTTATTGTTGAAATCAATTTTTATAGAATAAAGATATAATTTTTTAATTCTTGTTGTTGTATTAACTTTTTCTTTTATCTTTTTATTGATCGTGTTTTAGGTATCGTATTATAATTCATGGAAAGCAATATACTCTCAATATTCTATATATTTTATTGATAACAAAATGTGTACATAGATGATGTTTATTTTTTTCCCAGATGAATATCAAGCTCCGTTTCCTTGGTTGCAAGCAAGGAATCACGTCGATTCAAATCTGAGAGAATATTCATGGTTGAGCCTGTTACTTTTAATAGACCATTCATAATATCTATGTTTCTTTCTTTAGTATTGTTCAGCTTTTCCAAGTTGGCTTTAACTTTTTGCAAAATATCTCTTAGTTCAACCTATCTGTTTGATATGACTGCTTCAACTAATAAGATGAAACAATGAAATCGTATTAATTTATTAAAGTTTATATATAAAGATACGAGAGTAGATGTATAGGAAAAATATAAGAGAACTTATTCAACATTATTTACCGTGTGATCTTGCTTTCTTTGCCTCTAGGTTGTCAATTGTTGGTCTCCTATCTGCCATTTGTTAAAAGTGTATGACTTGTTGGATGGATTACAGAGTCTATTTGATTATTCTTATATAGATATAAATATCATTGAATGATGTTTTATAAACAAAGAATGCGGACAGATATAATGCGAACAGGCAACTGTTCATTAAAGAATATAATTGTTTTGATGATTAAAGCAGCTGTTCGGATAATGTGCAATTGAATTCAAATATTTAATATGAATATGACTTTTGAATTATCAATAATATAGATTCAACAATTAATATGGCAATTACATATTTATATATATGTGTGTGTGTGTGTTTAATTATTATTATTTTTTCTTTTTAAAAGAACATGTGTATAAAATTGGGAGATTTTATTAAAAGGCCATTTGAAGTTAAAATTTAATTAAAAGGCTATATTGTTTGTAAATGTTAACTAAATAGCCTTGTCTTTGATTAAGCTTAATTAAACATGATTAGGGGTTAATTAGGATTAATGAATAATTGTGTAATCTTTTAAAAATTATAATATGTCCCCAAAGAGTCGAAATTCTTGCAAACAAACCCAAACACCTTCTTCTTCTTCCTCCCGCCACATTAACGCATTCCTCCACCATTAACATCTTCTCCAACACAGATCCTCCTCCTCCTGACATTTCGTCCAGGTATATGTATCTCCCCTTTCGATTTACAAAGATTTAATGATGGATTGGGTTTGGGTTATGATTTTGATTTAGTTGTTTAGGTTGTTGGGTTGTGTTTGATGTAATGGAAGTTGAAAGGAGTAAAATTTGTTGAAAATTTGCTTGTATTGTGGGTAGCCGGGGTGGTAGCACCGATTGTTATTGGAGATGACTGAAAATGTGTTCTAGATATGGTGTATCGCTTAAGCGATCTGGTACATCTGGTAATGCAGCAGATAGATCACTTAAGCGATTAGGTATGTGGCATAAGATCGCTTGAGCGATCTGCTAAAAGTCTGGTGTATAGCAGCAGATCGCTTAAACGATCAGTAAATGACATAAGATCGTTTAAGCGATCATGCTTATTTATACTGGATCGCTTAAGTGATCTAGTAAACGATATACCAGATCACTTAAGCGATACACCAGATCTGTCAAGCGACTGTGCAGATGCTTTTTAAAATATTTCAACCCTTAGTACATCAGTTAAGAATATTTTTTTCTTGCATTATAGGCACTTGGCTATTATTAGACATGGGACACGTTGTTTTGGGTGTTGAATATTTTGGTGAGTGGGTGGAGGAAGAAAGTAGCTGGAAGTGGATTGGGAAGAGCAAAGAAGTTATACTAATTGCTGTGAGCACAGAGGTTAGTTTTGATGAGTTGATTGATGAAATAATTAGAAGAGGTGATTTGAGTTGCTCACATAGTGATATAGTTGTGAAGTATGTTTTAAGCAGAGTTCCTGAACATTATAAGGTACCTCCTGCTATATTAAAGTCAGATGAAAGTGTGAAGTTATATATGATTGATGTGACCGATAATGGTTCGAGGCCGATTTTAAGGGTTTCTTTTGTAGAAAAACCATTGGAAGTTGGTTCAAAGGAAGGGGATAACAAGGAAGTTGGCGGAGATTTGCCTGGTTTTAATTTGAACTACGAGGGCATTGATTTGTTAGTTGAAAAATCAAGAGTAGATGGTGAATTGGGTGGTGAGGAGGACACTATAGAAGAGGTAGGTCTTGGGCGGCAGAATGAAAATATTGAGGAGGACCCTATACATGTTCCCACGCACAGATGTAGAGATTCCTTTAAATACAGATTATGCAGAAGGTGTAGTTTGTGAGAAAGAGAACACTATGGTCATTTATACAGGTTCAGAGGGGGCAATTGCAGGTATTAGTGAATCAGCTCATGTTTTTATGGATGGATCGGAGTTGCGCATAGGGTATTTATTTGACAACAAAGAGGAAGTGGCGAGGAAGCTAAAACTTGTTGCTGTGAGAGGTAATTGTGAGTTCATCACTAAAAAGTCAAATTCATTGGTTGTGACGGTTGTATGTCATGACCGAAAGTGCAAGTGGCAGGTTTATTGTAGAAGGTTGGAGGAGTCTGAAAAATTTATTCTTAGCACACATATCCATGAGCACACATGTGGTTTGAGACATATTTCAGGTGAGTATCGACAAGCCTCCGCTGATGTTATTGGATAATTTGTCAAAAGTCAGTTCGTTGAAGACTTGTGCACACAGAGTTGGGATGTGCTGTTAGTTATTGGAAATGCTGGAAAGGGAGACAACATGCATAAGATTTTGTGAGGGGCACATTAGAGCACGGGTACGCAATATTAGAAGCGTACCATTATATGCTCTAGTTGACAAACCAAGGTAGCAAGACGACTTTGAAGTGGGATAGGAATATGATGTTTAAATATTTTTTTGTTGCTTACAGTTCTGTTATAAGGGTTTTTGTAAACATGAGAAAGGTGTTGGCTGTTGATGGTTGCTTTTTGACGGGAACGTATGGAGGTACATTGTTGGTAGCCACTGCACAGGACAACGAGAATCACACATATCCTATTGCATGTTGTGTGGTTGACTCTGAGAATGACAAGTCGTGGACTTGATTTTTTCAGCAATTACGTATAATAGTGCCTGACAGTGACAAGTTGTGCATAATATCCGATAGGCATAACTCTATAAAGAAGGGGATTACCACTATTTACCCTCAAGCACATCACATATTCTGTATGAGGCACCTTGGTGAGAACATAAAACAAAATTTTAAGTGTACTGGCCTTCTTCAGACATACTACATGGCAGCAAAAGCTTATCGAGTTGATGAGTTCGAGGAGCACTTCCAACAAATCCAAATTAAGGATGATAGAGTTGCTAAGTATCTTGAGCATGATGTTGGTTTCGAGTGATGGAGTAGAGCTTACTTTCCTGGAAGAAGGTTTGATGTCATGACCACGAACATAGTCGAGTCCATAACTTCGAAGTTGTTAATAGAAAGAGAGTTTCCAATAGTTGCACTTTTTGATGCAATCCAGAGGACATTGTCACGGTGGTTCCATGAGCGTCGTACAAAGTCAGATAATTTTACTACAACCCTTGTTCCGTCAGCTAAAAAATTATTGCAAGAATGTATGGAAATATCAAATGCATTGTTTTCCTATCCTCTTAATGCTCAAGAGTTCACTATGCATGGCTATGGTTCGGATGCCCTAGTTAACCTTGTTAGTAAAACTTGCAACTGTAAAGTGCTTGACATTCAACGTTTACCTTGTCCTCATGCACTAACAGCACTGAAAAACCAATGGAAGCCGGATTTTGGTTCAAGAATTT